TTCGTTCTCCAAACTGCACCAATTCGTCGTCGGCGAACAGCATGCTGATAAGCCTACCTCGTGCCGTTCTGACATGCCTGCTTATATGCATACACTCACCTTGCGACACATCCTGTAGGTTGATGTATGCATGAGGCACATGTTATACTGTGATCTCAAGCCATATTAGCTAATTCCTTCAATCTAATTCCTTGTCTGGTTGCCTTGGATTTGATGTTCGTATCGAAGGAATAGGAGGGAGTGAGCTTGTTCGAACTCAATCTCAGTACTTAAAAATGTCGTATCGCCTAGCGTTTCGCGAAGCTGTTGTGACTTTTGCAACAGTCACTCAAGTGAAATCGTTGAATTCTGTCATCATAAATACACCTGTGCTACACGTTATGAAACACGAAAGATTACAACCGTATACAACGCCAATACCAGCAGACGGCTCTTCGCAATATTCATAAAGCTTCATGGATGTGAATAAAATATGTAAAGATTTTATCGGCTTGACATAGTCGGACTTATTTTATCTTTATTTTGTTTTTGTCTCGTTTGAAGTAGGTGGCATTTGCGATGTTCAACTGGGACTCTGTGAAGTCGGCCTTGCATATTGGTTCTGACTCTGAGGATGTTCTGCCGTCACTCGATCTCGAGGGCGTAGCAAAAATAATTTCTGAAGGAAAGGTTTCCAATATCATCACGATGGTCGGTGCAGGCATATCTACTGGTTAGTTTTTTCCTTGATACGACTTTTGAGTGTATTACGTACTTTTTTTTACCGTTGAACCCATGTACCCCACATTATTATTGTTTCTATCCCATTAAATCTTCAACTAGCTTACTATTTGAACCTATTAAAGCGTTTTCTCTCCTGATTCTATAACGCTAGAACAATAAACATTACCGAAGTCATTTTCCTTCAACGTCATCATCCGCGCAACTTCTCGTCGATGCGGCATGACTATCACAGCCGGTCAGCAACGTCCCGTTTTTGCGGTATTCACTTTAAAGGACTGGCATTTGCACAAACTGTGTAAATGCACCATCCTTACTCGATCTAGTGTGCTAAGTTCTGTTGTAAGTGTTTGAGTGAGTGCATCAGACTAGACGAGGATAGAGCCTCTCCACCATTGACCGGGAAGTCTGTTGAAGATTAAATTGCTGTTTAGCAGCACACGTAATCGAGTGCTTTATGCAAGGTAAGCCATTTCTTCCAGGTCGACTTTACTTTCATGTACTTGTTACGGCTGTGATCATGACTGATTCAACTGGCCTCGATGATATCCCGGATGGTACTTCTCCATGCATAATGATCTGTGACAGCAGGTCTGGGCAATTCGATCCATTCTCTCCGCCAACGCCGGAGACTGATTACCGAAGTTTGAAACATTTTTCCCCAGGATGAAATTTGTAATAAGCATATACGGCAGAATTTGTTTGATCAAACAAATTTCGTGACTGCTCATCAGCTGCAGCCTGTCTTTGCAT